ATAGATAGATAGATAGATAGATAGATAGTGGTGCGCTTTACGCCTAGAGAGAGAGAGACGGTCGACGACAGGTACGCAGAGTAAGCAAGAGTTTATCTTAGTCGATGAGGCGGTCAGAGTCAGAATTTTCTTTGCATTGAATTCTCATTGGCTACCGATGATAATGATCGTTGTTCTGATTGGTCGTTGGCTGAATTACCATCAGGCTCTTTTCAATGCGAGTCCCGGTACTCATCCATTCATATGATTAGTTCTCATTCACATGCAAATTAAGGTCAGTCTTGAAAAAGAGGCCAAGGGTAATTCGAAAATGACCTATTGGAAACTGCTCCGCAAAACATCAAGTTGTGTGGCTAGTCTTGAAAATTAGGGCATGAATATTACAACTACACTCTCAGGGTGGTTATCAAGAAATTTTAACGCCATTCCTGGCTTGTCAGGGCGCATAAATAGTATAAATCTTTTGAATAGCTTAAGAGAAGTTATATATTATTAAACTGAACACTTTCTTCGTCCACTTTTCATTTTGACTTAAGCATTTCTTCTGTGAAAAGTATGCAGTGAACGACTTGCACGGGGCTCCACCCTTGTGTGCTGGCAGCCACGTCATTAGGATGCGTTAGGGTTTGGCGTTGACCTTCTCTGCGATAAGTTTGAAACCGCAATTGATTTCTTTTAAAGAAAATTCTACCGATTCGTGCATGATAACAGGCCAGGGGTCCAGAACTGAGTTTTAACCAAGAAGGAAAATTTGCAACACTCAGGAGAAAAGGAGCTCCGATTGGAAAAATGCATTGACGTTTATGAGATTTAAAAAGTAAACTGTAGACAACTTGTCAGCCTTTTTGTCTCCATTGGGAAACATTTCCTGTCTATCAAAACCGCAGTTAGTCAGTTTTCTTGTGGAGGGAGACCTCAATGCTTACAAATTGGCAAAACACGCTCGAAAAGCAATAATTGCTATTAAGAAAGAGAGATACCGAATTGAAGTTTATGTAACTCTACATGTAATTTGACAGCCATAGCGTTAAAAAGAGTGAAATGTGTGTGAGAGAGAGAGAGAGAGAGAGAGAGAGAGAGAGAGCCGAAAATGTCGCGATATTTGTTATCCTTGCAAAATATGTTTGATGAAATCTTTTGTGCATGTAATCTTCGATTTTGACCACTAAGTATTTGTATTTGAAGTATTCATAAAGCATATATCTGTGAGTCACCTACTCATTGCGTGAATAGTTACAAAGTTTTTACATCCATTTGATTGATTGGGTTGAAAATCATTAGCATTGTTCAATAGAAAAGAGAGCAAACTGATAAAATGAAGGCCTTAAGTGTCATTTTCACGAGTGAGTATAACCCAAATGTAAGCTTTGCAACCGTAAATATGGTTTCTGGGCTTGTCCTGTGGTCAGCATATCGAGATGCAGGTGTCTAAATAGCATCTAAAATTGGTTTATTCGTCATGCTGGAGGCTCCAGTTGTTGTTAGTAATTACTGACTTCCTATTCTAATTGCTTGCGATTTAAGGCTGATCGACGTGGAAAAGGAAAAGTAGTAGAAGTTTGTTATTTGTATTGCTTAGCGTAAAATAAGCCGGATTATTTACTTTGTGTCACCCATGCCTTCCTTCCTTCCTGGCAGCAGCTTTCTCTCGTGTTTGGTAAGAGCTGAAACATTTTTAAACTCTTAATTGTTGTCGAAATCCAAAGGGCTGTGGAATGCTATTTTGATGTGTAAATTCTAGATACACTTGCTACACTACGATATGGTATGCAGGGCAGTCATTCTGCTTGCTAGACAAATACTTCGGAATAAATCATAGCTTTGAGTGCTAAACTTCTAATAGTAATGTATTTCATTTGCAGTTCACTGTCTAGTTGTTGAGCAATGCTTTTGCTCAGAATTTCAAACGTTTGCAAGTCACATAGCCTAAACCAGCGAAACCCCACCTCATGCACTTCTCATGCACTTCGTAGATCTAGCACTTTCAATTTCTTATACACACGAATTTGATCCTCCTTGAAAAAAGATATGGTCTCTAATTTCGTCTTGAAGTCTAATTTATCATCATCATGATGATATCACATGCAAACGTTTTACATGGGTTAGGTTTTTCAGTCTCAGAATTTCCCAGATGTCAAGTACAGGCCGTCAAAAAAATGTGCGACGAAGTTAAAGGAGCGATCAGTCGCTTAGAAAGCATAACTTATCTTACAAATTGCACTTCGATAAAAAGAAGATAAATGGAGAGAAAATTGATGAAGCACGAACTCATGAAAACTGAATATTCTTTTGTTTGTTTTGTGTAGCACCTGCTGTTTTATTCAGTTTTATCTCGGTCACATTTAAATAATGGTAAAATACGGCGTCGGCTTTCTAGTTTGCGATAGAATCAAAAGATTCCCTCCCTCGCGGATTGGAGACTTCAAAATCGTGTTACAAATGTTTCACGACTGAATTTTTCGGTTTACGAAATCAGAAAGAAAGTCTTCCGCTGAAGACATCTGAAGTGCCCATGTAGCCTTTGTTTCACAACTTTAATGAATTAACTTCGCGCAATCTCGTCGAAAACAAACGAAGAAGAATTAAAAGAATTTTAAGTCAGTTCTCTGTCAAGTGGCATTTTTGTAATCGGTGAAGTAAGGCGGTGCTGTAAAAGCAAAATGCAATTGCCAATGAGCGTTAGCACTTTGTCAGTTTATGTAACAATATAAAATAAAGCCCTGCTTTGTTAACTTTTCGGTGTGTTAAGGCAGAAGGTGTCCTGATAGTTTGTCCTTTTATTCGCTTAATTGCAGTCGAAAGTAGACTTTCCCGAAAACAATGCAAACAGCCTCTTGTATTTGCGTCGTGCCGGTCAAACTAGTCTTTTCAGCAGTCAAGTATCATATTGTCGAACTTTGACAACTGTCATCTCAAAATATCTTTGAGATTCACCGGAAGTCCGACAATTAAGTTCGATTCGGCTCGAAAATTCTTGATATCGAGAATATTTGGGAAAGTAATGCAAAAAAAGGAGTTAGTCACCTAGGAAAAAATTTGCGGACTTTCTCTGTGATTTACTCTCAGAGGCGTGTGTTTTCTTTCCAGTCGGTTTCCAACGCAAAAATAGAATTTTACAATCGACTTCGAATGAGAGTTGTTAATTATTCACGTGCTCGAGACAGATGTTGCTTGTTGTCTCACGTCTTGGACACGAAACTTGTTATTGCTTCAAACCTTTCCTACATTGTCTTCACATCTACGTCTCCAACTGTGCCAACATAATATGTGTTAGATAACATGTTACTGAGTAAGAAAAACAGTGCGTCAGCCTGCAGATGATGAGGTTAAGCGACCATTGTGTTCAAGGTTTAAGCGACTTGTTTATCACGAACCTGTGAGCCAGTTTGGCGCATTCGTTGTTAAGATATTTGTCTGCTCGAAGTGTAAGACTGTCTATCTCGCGTATAAACAAGATTGTTTCGTGATGGTACGCGATAAGAACACTGTAAGCAATGCGAAATTATTTGTTTTGACAAACTTAGTGTTAGATGTACGTGATTAAGAAGCAGGTTACGCTATGTGCGTTTTTATTTCGATGTTTTAACTCATACTGTAGCTTAAATGCGTGATAATGTTGTCATCTTCGGCGTGATAAACGCGAATTTCTTCGTGGTGCAGTGCGCTTGACGCATCTGACCTGGTTTATGCCTTGTCTTCACTCTAACGTCATCGCAGTAGAATTTAATAAGTATCTTGACTGCCATTTCCTACCTCTCAGAGGTAGGAAATTGCAGTGTAGGTTAGTAGCCTAGAACTTGTTCTTTCATGTCTCATTTGATTGCTACTCTTCTTTCAGATCATGGCGGCGTTCAAAAGATGGCGCTCGAAGTACAAACGTTACAAAAACCAAATTCCCGAACAGATGAGGAACAGAATCATCCTACATTATGGCCTATTTAAAATAACTTGGGATTGGCTGATTTTGATTCTAGTGCTTTACACTGCCATTGAGGTGCCGTTTGTGTCTGCTTTCGTAATAGCGCGTGATGAGGTTGAAAACCATGGTAAGATAAGTAAGATCTTTTGACAGGGAGCCCACGTCACAAATTGTGGTTTTCAGTGAGGCCCTGCATAAATCTAACGTAAGGATAACAGAAAATATAAATATGGTTATCAAGAAAAGGATAAAAGGGCATAATCAATAGAAGAGACTACATATTTTTAACAAGACGTCTAAAAACTGAAAAATCGGAAATGTTCCTAATGCCGTCTGGGAGAGCGTTCCAGTCATCTACTGCATGACAAACAAACCGATGCTGACCCCATGTACGCTTTTTCTTTGTTAAACGAAAAACTTTTTAGTTTTGTCAGTACATCATCTACTACAAACATGCAAACATCAAGGGCGTTTACAAAACCAGGATCGGATCGGATCGGATCGGATCGGATCGGATCGGATTGACAAAACCTGGACCGTATTAACAAAATCTGGATCGGATTGCGTCCGATTGACAAAACCCGGACCGGATCCGCAGCCTTAAGAGAAACATGTCAAACATGGCGACTGTTTTTCTTGCCATGCACAGTTTTTTTTTACGTTTGAGTTGGACGGCCAGGCTCCCGAGAGGGCGGTGCAATGCCTGCCGACCTACATGTCTAATCCAACCCATGGCTAGAGTGTCAGGCCTTAGGGTTGGGATCGCAACAAACGAGGGACACCAGTCGCCAACTTCGCTGGGGAATCGAACCCCACCTCACTTAAAAATTACCACACACACAGTGTGAGCGCTAAGCCTCACGGGAGTTACAGGCGATGATGTTTAAGTTTTCGATCGGAGGTAACGACACCTGCTAAGTAAGTGCCAGTCAACTGATTTGACCGTAATTGAATGTAGTTGAAAATGAATATCCACAGACGTTCTCAAGCTCACGAAATGTATAGTTGTTTTATTACGAGCGGAATGGTCACTGGAACGTTAATTGCTTAACTTCAACTAAGTTTGATCAGATCAAGCTTTTCCTTGCCGGAGAGTCTGGTAGACCTCAAGTTGACATGCTTTTCTTAAACGAAACATTCTTCAAACCTGGTATTCCTGACTCACTATATGCCGTTCCTGGATTTATAATATATCGCTGTGACAGAATATCGAGAGGTGGTGGCGGTGTATTGGCCTTTGTCAATCAAGATCTGCGTTTGAAACGTAGGGCTTACTTGGAGAATGCTCACTTAGAGATTATTTGGCTGGAGATTTTCCCTTTCAAGTCAAAAAGGTCTCTGTTTATTTCAGGAATTTACCGTCCGCCTTCGTACTCTTCGGCTGACGATACTCGCTTAGAGGCAAACATTGAACAGGCTTATCTCCTGAATAAAGAAATGACCTTACTGGGCGATTTCAACATTGACGCGCTCATGACGCGTCGGTATGCTAAAGAGTGCTAAACGAAAGTATTATGCCTCAAAACTTGAGAATAATAAAAACAATACCAAAGAAATGTGGAAAACAATTAAGTCAATTACTGGATTGAGCAAACAGTCTAAGCGTGTAAACAACCTTAAGTTGGTGGGTGTCTCCTAGAGGACGATGAAAAAATTGCTTCATTGAGGAAGTAGTGACCTAAGCTGATCTGCAATAGATGTAAAATCATTTTACATCTATTGCAGATCAGCTTAGGTCACTACTTCCTCAATTTGATTTTGACATATCTAAACTTCAAAACTTTGTCATCACAAGAAAGGACGCTAGCATCACTTTCTCCATACCACCTATTACAGAGAACAAGAACATTGATTGTCTCAAGAACATTAGCTCAAACAAGGCCAGTGGTATTGATGACATAAGTGCGCGAATGCTGATATTAGCAGCTCCTATTATTGCTCCGTCCATTGCTAAACTAATTAATTATTTATTCATAACATCACTTTTTCCTCAGCGCTGGAAGACTGCAAAAGTCACTCCGTTATTTAAAGGTGGGGGTCAAGAAAACGTAAACAACTATCGTCCGATGTCAGTGTTGTCAGAACTTTCCAAGGTAATCGAGAGGCATGTACACGGCTCGCTTTATAGTTATTTGTGTGTCATTAATCTAATTTATTCTAAGCAGTCTGGCTTTCGCAAGCGTCACAGTACTGAAACTGCTCTTATTAGAATTATCGACGAACTGCTGTTCAACCTTGACAATGATCGCGTGAGTGGTATGATTTTAATTGATTTTTGCAAGGCTTTCGACATGGTTGATCACTCGATTCTATTGCAAAAACTTCAAGCATATGGGCTTGACAACAAATCGTTAATCTGGTTTCGATCATATCTGAATGAAAGGCGCCAGTTGGTATCTATGGGTAACACAGAATCTCCTACTGCTTGTGTTCGTCATGTCGTACCTCAGGGCTCAATTTTGGGTCCCTTGCTTTTCATGCCTATATTAACGATCTTCCGCTACATGTGAGCTCGGCTCAAATTGACCTATACGCAGACGACACGACGTTAACCTCCGCTGCTAACTTTGACTCCGTTGATGTTCTTCAAAGTTCACTGACAACAGCAATCTCTGAGGTCGACGAATGGGCAACAGCTACTGATAAACTTCCTCTCAATGGGAGCAAGACAAAAGTTCTTACCATTACTGGCAAGCGACTCTCTACCAGAGAGAAAAGATTTCTTAATTTAAACGTGGTAAACACTAATTTGATGTCAAGATCATTACGAAAACGACTAACAAGGCGACGTATTTGTTTTGAGCTATAGTAGAAAAACGGCCTAAATAAGGTAACTTATAAAAGTGTTGTTTACCCTGTGAAGTGATATTAGAGGAAAGAGGTGTTTGAGTGGAGCCATTTTGGTCGATGGCTGTGTTCAAATATCGCCCCTTCTAAATTTCAACTTAAACTTAAGGAGGCTATACACATAAACTGGGAAAAGCCTAATTTAAACCAACAAGTTCATCACTTCACCATGACGCTTACGCTTTAGGTTTTATATTCTTTCCAACACTTTGTTACTCACTCAAATATGTAATTTTTGTCACTTAATCATAATTAATTATGCATGTTTCGCCTAGTTGTTATATAGTCCTAACGGTTTTTCAAATATTCTGTAACTGACGATGATGTTCGTAACATCGAAANTCCTAATGCCGTCTGGGAGAGCGTTCCAGTCATCTACTGCATGACAAACAAACCGATGCTGACCCCATGTACGCTTTGATTGTGGTTTACAAATGTTGTTATTAAAACGAGTGTTATAATCATGCATGTCTTTAAAATGATTAAAATTAAAATTCCAATCAATTAGTCCATTCAAGGACTTAAAAACCAAAAATAGACGATGAGATCTTCGTCTTTTTTCCAATGTATCCCAACCAAGTAGATCAAGAGCTTCTGTTGCTGATGAATGCTTTGGCATATCTAAAATTAATTTAGCTGCTTTATTCTGGAGTAATTGGATCTTGTTCATCAGAGTGGTGTTGGATTTATCCCCCCAAGTCACATCAGCATAATCAAGGATTGGCAGCACCATGGCTTTTACAAAGAGTTCCCTTGTATTTCTTGGCATAAGATGTTTTATTCTCTGTAAAACGCCAAGCCTCTGAGACACTTTGGTCTTAATGTAATCCACGTGATCAGTCCAAGTCAGATTCTCATTGATAATTACGCCCAGATACTTGAACGAATTGACTTGATTAAGGATGCACTGACTTGCCAGTCAACATGTTGTTACTCTATTCACAGTTAATCTGCGTATATTTTAATTTTTCCGGAAGTTGTAGGGAGTATCTGTTTATTGTGAAAAATTACTGCAGTCAACTTCATCAAATGAACTTAATCCAGGGTGCGACAAGTTTAGCCTGATGAAGATTTTTCATCTCGTTTCTCAAATTTTAAGTTTGGAAATTTTGGTTTGATCCCAATCATCATTGCCTAGTTCGAAATTTAGTTTTCTTAATCAGCATAGGTTTAAATTGATATTTTTTTTCTTCGCATTATATTTCCTGAATCCGCCTTGGTATTCTATATGTGTTTTTAGTGCTCAATTTCGTTCAGTCGACAGGCATTAGTGTGCATTAATCAGTTCTTTTTTTTGTGAAAACTTTGTGTGTGGCCCAAGCCTAGTGGTTCACAGATGCTTCCATCTGGTTTCAAAAAAAAAATTGGGAGAGGTAAAAAAATATTCGTTTAAAAAGCTATTAAGATCATACTTGTCAGTTTGAAATTGCATACGCTCTGCTAATGGTTTAACAAAATATGCACAAGCTGGGAAAACACTTGTAAGTATAATTTTCCAGATTATTAGCCACAAGGTCTAAGATCACAGGAGATCTCACAGTTTGAGTATAGAAAATGCTCAAGGCATGATAACATCGCCACATGGATTTTATAAAAGCTTTCACTGAGCCCCTTTCACACCATATCTATGTTTGCATACTTAGGAAATCTTGCTATGTAGGGCCTTAAGGCTTATCTATATCTTTTCGACTGGAGGAAACCTGCTGCGTCTTTTGATAACATGGCTGTTCTCTACGACGAAAACACTTTTATTCAGTATCAAAAATGCCCGAAATGTTATTTTTATGAAAATTTGAAACCGATTCCATCATGTCTTAAAATATTCTACAATTAAACCAGAAATTATAACTACTTTACTAAAGTGGCTCATTAATTTTTCAGAAATGCTTGTTACAAAAGAAGAGACGATTTTCTTATTCGGAATCAATTAAAAAGATCGTGCGGCAGCAAAATATAACGTCCAATTCTACCATATGTAAAGTGAACAGAATTTTTCTGAACACTGAAAATTCGCCGATAGCCACAACATACCCTACGATCAGAGTCCAGGGTATTTATCATGCTGTTTTGCTAAAGTGAAAGGTTAGAAAAAAGAAGAACTTAAAACATCAATTTGGGCGCGCACAACATTTTGTATCACTGGGAGCTTTGACATTTTATTTGTCAAAAGAAAATTGAGAATTTAGCTGTTCTTAGCTGTGTCGATTCTGTGGCTAGCTGTCTTTTGTTTCTAAACTGCAAGTATCCTAAAATACCCGCAAGGATGATCTGTAGATAGATTTATGGCCCTACTTGCATAAACTAGGGTATATTTGAATTTACGTCTTCAGCGGTCGAAGATAAAGAGCGGTGCTATAATTATTTCAACTGCTATTTGTGGCCAAAGTGTCTCGCAAAGGGTAATGGTACCAAATAACGCCGAACTCGCACCAGTGCGCATGATTTTTCGTGTGCTGGCCTCTTGTTCCTATGAGGGTAAATTGGGGGGAAGGAGTTGTAGGACGTTGTTAACTCCCTTTACCCAGTTACTCTCGACTGGCTGCTAATTTCTCCAAACGTTATCACCCTTGAATCAAATGTAAAGGTCATGAGAATAATGAAAATGATCACCAATTTAAGAAAAAGTTCTTCTTGTCATTACCATAGAGAATGTAGAGTGAACAGGGTGGAGGATTTGGACATAAATGTCCGGGAGCTAATGGTTAATAAACTGAAACGCCATTGTGATGCTACTATGACGCCTATTGAATGATTGATTGGTCGATGTATTCATTCCTTCATTCATTTTCTTCGATTTGTTTGCTATTTATATATATATTTGGGTATATTTTACACATTAATTGCCATCCAAACTCTATAGGCACAGAGAGTGTGGTGCTTTTTGTGCCATGTAACGCACTGGTTCAGAGCCATACCGACTGAAAGCTAATCCCAGATTCCCTTTGTTTCAATTTGCAGGTAATAGATCCTCACTGAATTTAGGCACAGAACTATAGGCACAGAGAGTGTGGTGCTTTTTGTGCCATGTAACGCACTGGTTCAGAACCATACCGACTGAAAGCTAATCCCAGATTCCCTTTGTTTCAATTTGCAGGTAATAGATCCTCACTGAATTTTTTCGAGAAGTTGAGACAAAGATACCCCGAGGCGTATCCTCTTCTATACACCGATTTGATAATAGACTTTATTTTCATGATTGACATTGTCATGAACTTCCGCACCACGTATGTCAAGGAAGGAGAAGTTCTCATCACCAACCCGTGGAAGATCGCGGTTCATTATTTTAAGACTTACTTTGTAGTAGATTTTGTAGCCGCCATCCCTTGGGACTTGCTGGCCAACTTCAACTCTGGGACGGAAGAGGTGAGTGTTGATCTGTGAGAGTCAACTATATGTCTTACTTAGGCCGCGGTTTTAAGCAGTCCACAGACCTCGATATTTCTTTACAGTGGGTGTTTCATATACAGATATGTTGTTGCACTGTCGGCTTGATGAACCTCGAGCCTGACGGAACATTAATTGATTCAGTTTAACACTAATTGGTCAGTTTAAACGGCGATCACTGGGCCTCGCGATTTCTTAACTAGTGTGTTTTCATGGTGATATCGTGCATTCCAGTGTGAGCCAAAAGCCTCCATGATACTTTTAACAAAAAAGTTTGGGTAAAATAAAGATTCAGCACAAGCGCTTTTTGGATATTTGGTGGATATTTGGAGAGAAGAGCTCTTCAATACTGAAAAAACCGCAGATGAGCTGGGGTCAAATCATAAATATTTTGGAAATATCGACCGCAGTGGAGGACAATTCAACTTCTCGCGATTATGTTGAGTCTTCTTGCTCCTGAAGCTTTTCTGTTGAAAAATTATTCATTGAGAGTCGAGTACAATTTTTACATATGTTGGTGAAGAGGTACATTCTGTACTCGGTCGTAGAATAAAGAAATGTGTGAACCATTGGTCAAGAGAAAAGGATGTATTCAAAACTGTCGACATTCGATTAAGGCTTATGTAGGGTTTTTAAGATCTGCTCTGTTTTATTTCTTTCAGAACACTATGTTGTTTAGTCTTCTTAAAACAGCGCGATTGCTACGACTGTTTCGTGCCGCGCGGAAGTTGGATCGAAATTATGAGTACATGACGTCATTATTGTTCTTGATGATCATGTTTTTTATGCTGGTTGCTCATTGGTTGGCTTGCATTTGGTATGCAATCGGGCAGGAAGAGGCAGCGCAGAACGACGGCTTATCCTGGCTCAGTGTTCTGGGTTATCAGTTAGAGACACCGATCAAGAAAGGAGATCCGACCAGCGGTCCTTCTCTTCGATCCAGATATCTGACGTCGCTTTATTACGTCATGACTCTGTGTACAACTGTGGGCTTTGGTAATGTGGCAGCAAATACAGACGGGGAGAGGATTTTCTCGATATGCTGTATGCTTATGGGGGGTAAGTTCATACGCATTTTAAATTGGTATGGTGTTGGCCCTTCCCAGATGTACCTTGCAGTTTTCGAGTTTGGTGTCATGATGTCAGGAACATTTGTTACAGTTATTTGTATCGACCACTTTCAAAAATGGCTGACGGATTAATATTCTTTTGTTTAAATTTAAATTAGCCTTTCTGGCCTCGCTTGAGATAATGTTATCTTTTGAATTTTGTTCTGGAGAACGAGGCCAGAAAGGCTAATTTAAATTTAAACAAAAGAATATTAATCCGGCAGCCATTTATGAAAGTGGTCTATATTCTGCATCGAAGGGTAAATGTAGTCTCTAGGTTCTTTACAGTAATTCGATTCCTTTTGTCCACAGCTGTGATGCACGCCGCTATATTTGGAAACGTGACGGCCATCATACACGGCCAGTACTCAAGTAACTTTCGATATCGCAAGGAGTCTCTTCAGATCAACGAATTCATTCGCTATTTTAAGATTAAAAATCCGCTGGCCAGAAGGCTCAGGGATTATTCGCGCCACACTTGGTCTCAAACCAAAGGAACAGACATGGCCAGGGTAAGCATCACGTGATCAGTTTGCTTTCAGCACTCCCTTACACGGACGCTGCTGTCACCGGTTTTCAGCGCCTGTGAGCGATATCTGTCTGTTGAAGAGAGAGTCAAGATCATTGGACAGCAGTATTCCAATGAAAGAAAAACGGCTGGAAGAAGCAGGCATTGACTTTGCCGCATTTGCCACAGTTGAAGATTAGTGTGAGAAGCAGTTTACAACACCAACGTGATCTAGGATTGCTTTGGTCCTGCTTTATTTTTAATGATTAAGAAAATGTACGCTACTCTTTCTGATTCCAAACTCAAACTGGTTGCAACTTGCACTTATCACTAACGTTTTCCCGCGCTTTAGTTAATTTGCCACTCATCCTTGGAACCGATAGCGAATCAGTTTGTTTTCTAATAGGAGGTTGGATTACTTTGACTTAATTTTTGAGACACTCGATCGAAATGCAACCGATTTAGTTAGCTGCTTTGTGTTTTTTTATGTTATCTCGTAGGTCCTTCAAAGGTTCCCGGATGGTCTTCAGTACGAAGTTCATCTTCATATGCACCTCACTGTTCTGTCGCATTCATTTCTCTTCCAAGACTTCGAAGATGGCTGCTTGAGAGCGCTTTCGAAGAAGATGCACCGTCATCATCACCTTCCGGGCCACCAAATTCTACACGAGGGTGATGATGTCGACTCTGTGCATCTTGTTAGGCGGGGGAAAATCGATATCATGATGTACAGCGAAACACATGGAAGAATGCGTGAGTGGCCAAAAATTTTTTCAGGGAATGGAAGGCTTTATAATTATATGTTGATACAAAATAATGAAAATATTTCATAGGCATGGTATCGCAAAGTAGGGCGTTGTTTACAGTTGTCTCCTATTTTCTTAAAGTAATTCGCACTGTATTCTATCTTGCCTAGGCGAGATAAGGCACTAGTGAAGGGAGAAAGCGTTCAGCAGCGCGACATTGATATGTATGGTAAATCGAAATTTAACATACATCATTTTGACTGACTGACTGACTGACAAGATAATTTGGTGTTTACCAACTGATTGACTTGCTGACTGTCTGGCTGACTGACCGACCGACTGACTAACAATTGATTGAGAAATTACTCTGAAATTTCTGTGTCACAAACATGGACTTATTTTTGATTGACCTCTTCTTTTGCTGCCCAAAATGACCAAAAGCGTTTTTGCGGAAAAGCAGGTGGCCACATCAAACGGTTTAGTGACAATACTCTAATTGGCGTTTTATTCTTTTTTTTTTGTCGGTACTACAGGGGAAGGAGATGCATACGGCGCCAGTTTAAGGCAAATTTCTTCTCGTCCACGGGCTGTAGTAACCTTGCGAGCGTCGACATGCGTAGACTGTCACGTGATCAAGCTCAAAGATCTGGCAGACATATTGAGGTCATACCCTAACCTACGCTCTCAGTTGTTAAGAATGATGGACGCCGCTGATCAAAATGATCTGTATGATGAGGTGATTTAATTTGTTTTACTCAACATTTCGGTCATTACGGATAGAATTTACTCCAAGTATATGACTCGTACAGCCCCATGAGCTCTTTCGTTGAAAAACAGTGCATATGAATTCTCATAGAAGAGTTAAAGACAATGGCGTAAGCTGGACAGGAAAAAGCTTATCATCCCGCGAGCTGTGAGCTAAAAGAAGAGATGGAGAAAAAGAGAGAGCGACGGTCATATGATAAAGTGCTCATTGACCGAGTTTGTTCACGCCTTCATTGTCATGACGCACGGAACTCGCTGCGCTCTTTCCATACATCATAAACTCGATTGAAATATTTTTCCACCCGGCTCCCCATGAGTCATTGAGTAGATAGCATGAGAGGATCACTAGATTTGGAACACCGACAGCTTTGAATTTCGGTATCTGTTTCGATGTCGATGTTTGAGCGGCAGGTGATTTGTAGACTAAAGAGAACTCAGGGTTGTCGGAACAGCAACAAGATGATTTATTCCAAAATGAACGTAGTTTCCACTTGATAACCTTTACACTAGTACGTAACTCGGTAAACTTACACGACCTCCGCCAACTTCGTACAACTTGTAAATACACTCGGCCTCCGCTAACTTCAATAAACTTGAAAATACTCACGGCCTCCCCCAAATTCGACAAACACTGCCTCGTCACACTTGTCTGAACACGACTGATCACGACCAACTCTCTTCGCTTGTGAAAACTTAGTTAAAGTTTCGCTTAACCTATCCTACTTATATACTTACGCGATAAAATTCTAGAACTTTCTAAGAAGGATCAAATAATAGCAATATTACAAAATATACCACTTTTAGAAACGATTACATAATATACTAAAATAAACGAGCCATGACCTTTCGCGAACCTTCCAGAAGGTCATGCATGTCACGCAACATTATTTTTCGTAACAGTATCATATCATACATTTCGTCTTTACCTAAATTGGTGAGTCTAATGGGGAAGTTCTTTGGGGCGGATCCTGGAAGTTTTGACAGGAGGGGGGGGGCTCAAAAGAGGGAATTTCAAGTTAATAGATTTTACTATACACATACCTTAATTACCAAGCAAGGGGCCGTACTAACAAATATCTGCCTGAGGTCTTGACATAGAGTTTGATGTTCTAGCACTAAGGTGTCCACCAAGCGTGGTTAATATGAGATTAATTACACGACTGGACATTATCGATAATGATTCGCATGATTTTGAATATATCATGAATCGCAAGTTTGAGAAGTTAATTGACCTTTTTTCTTTCAGGGTGTTGCAAATGAAAATGGTAATGACCGCGTTTACCAGGCTGGCAAGAATGGCGTAAGGAAATCATCTTGTACGCACAAGAAACACTCATTGATGGTGGACCCTGAATTTGAAATGAAACCAATGCTAGGCGTTCGAAGCAATAAGTTGTTAGAAAAGCAACCGTCTCACAGTTCGAAAGAGCGGCTCGGTAATGGAGACTTGAACAAATACAAGAGTATTTCTATGGAGGACAACACCTCCGCTGAAACAAGTGGGCGTTTTATCAACGTAACGCAGTTAGTTAATATCGAAATGGAATCGCCTGATGATTTGAATGAGAACGTTAGAACTAGTAATGAGGATGACGAGGAGGACGAAATAAATGATGAGGATTTTAAAGAGGAAGCTCCACAGCATAAAATAAGTTTGGCAAAGTCGACCTGTTCTGACTGTAAGACAGAGTTTAGACCTTCGAGGAAGGCGAACTTGGAGGAACGTTTTGAGGAAATGACTGCTAATATGCAAAGACTGGAAGGCAGAGTGGAGGCTTTAATATCACTTTTAGAAAGAACTGGAAATGGTAATGCGCCCTCAGTAGGTTCTGGAGAAGAAAGAAAAGGCAAATTTTCTGTGACTTCTGTCTGATTTTGGACTTGTTCGAATCTCGCGGGTCCATGAAGTCAAAACAATGTTCTTCGTCTTTGGATTCGAGTGTTGAATCATTCTTCCCATGGCAACGCAAGGGAAGAAATCGTTCTTCAACTACGGTGAATACTGATGAGGTTCCACAAACACATCGAAATTACGGCCACCACTAAGGAAGTGACCAGCATACTTGACGAACCAAGTCCAAAAACCTTATGCAAAGTACATGTTAATTTCTGTACTTTAAGAATGCTCCAAAATACTGCACCTTTTGTAGTGTAGATAGAAGATACTTCAACAGATAGTTGTTTTATACGAAAACGCCGGCAAAACGTAAAAAAAAAAATACGTCAAGTGTCATATTGTGCTTGCAAACTTTGAAATTCTGATACGTTTTATACTGCCATGGATGGAGATACATAGCCTTTCGACTCCAGGAAGAAGTCGGAAACAAGTTCGAGATCTTAAGTTTTTTGAGAAATACTACGAAAGCGTATACTTCGTTGAGCTTCTTTGCGCTCACCATGCACTGTCGGTATCTTACATTCGCCACAGCGCTATTTTTGCGGAAATTCGTCCTATGGTTTCCACAACCATTCCCACAAAAACTGATAGCACAAGTTCGCGCGCACTCGCTGTTTCACCAGAAAATTTCTGAACTCACGGTCATTCTCATCTTAGAGTCTGATGGTATATACTTCCCAAGACACCATACAAACTACGCTGCATGAATTCAACTTAGAAGTAACCTTCGATAGTGTTGTATGAAAAGGAAAGTTGTTGTTGTTGATTGGGAGAGAATTTCATCAACTGAACCGTTGTCAGAGCAAAGGGACTTTGTTGATATCTTCACCAAGAGATTCAGATTCAGTTTATAATCTCTTAACTTCACTTGACACTTCGTTTGATTCTGTCTTCAACTAAGCTTGCTAAAATGATAATCTTTACTTAAGGGTTCTGACAAGTGCAAGGTTGAATCTTTCGGATCGAAAAAATTATCATTTCAATTAGCAATTTAATTTTTTATTTCAAAGTTCGCGTTTTATTTAGTAGAGTATCTGTCCCCTTTATATTTGTCGAAACTTTTCGCGATTTTTCGAATGATTTTTCTGTTTTGGACAAAAATGTGACCCAAGGTTTTTGTCCCGTTTGTTTTTATACTTTAATTAACAATCAACAGAAGAACTTTAACAAACAAACACATACATGCGAAGTTGGTCCAATGAATGATCAAAATCGCGTAGGTGTGTCAAGGATTTATCTTAATTACAGAGGTCCCGAGAAAAGAGTTTAGAAGTGATTTGATCACATACTGTTTCTTAAGCAAGTCACTGTAAACTAGTTTTTTACGCACGCCTTTTTGTAAAAGGCTTATTAAAAATAACTATTCTCAAGATTTTTTTCCTCTTGCAAACTATTTCCGTTATGATTTGAAACGAGAGAGGCTAGAGTTGACACTCAGTATTAATCCGTTTTGAAAAGGAAAATGCGAATTTGTAGAATGTGTAAATAATAATTTTTTTACCATTGTAGCCCATTTTTTGGAAAACCTGTCGAACAGTGATTATTTATTACTGAAGTCAAAAATCTGTATTGTATCAGCTTGACAAAAAAAAGTGTCATTATTCAATAAAGACTGAGTTGAATAGATCGTGTGTGTTTTTTGTAAAATGCCAGGAATTTGTATTAGCGGATCGATTGTGCACTTTGCGTCATCATCTCTGTTAGAATCTGGATTTGGAAGTATTAGCCATTTATTTGTTTTTCTTCCTTCCCAACCCTTGGAAATTTCCTTATAAAAAAGAAAAATAGGAGAAATTTGACTTAAGAAAACCATAGTTTACATACATCGCGCTAGAACGACTTTGTTTAGCAAATTTTTCTTTTAGATCATACAGTGATATGTCCTATTCGAATTTAGTTTAACCTTGATTTTTCTGAAATTGTGTTGGAGTTGTTCAAACCATCTGCCTATTACAGCAATCCGAGACATTGGGGAAAATATGGAACGTTGAAAATTTTTTCTAAATTTTTTCAAACATTTTGCAACTACATGTTCCCTCAAGATACCTGCGGTGAGCTTAGTAAGCTGTCAGGAATTGGTTTTGTCAAGTGAAAGACATTGGTCTATAATTGGGATTATTAATTATTAATTAATTATTAATTATTATTATTAATTACTATTATTTATTAATTATTAATTAGATTGGGATTATTGTCTCGCGATGCTCGATACGCCTGGATTACACTGAATAACGACTACACGTATGCTCAGGTAGCGATCCACTCGAAAATACTTCAACAAAGTCTAAGCTTTGCAAATTTACATTGCTTTACTTTAAAACTTGCTCGGGAATCTTTAGCACTCCAAGTTTAAATTGTGAAATTTCATAGCTCAAGAATCTAAATTTAAACTCAAAAAAATATTCACTTTATTACATCTCTGTTTATTTTAAGATGAAAAAAAAATTCAAAAATAATATTCATAGTGGTTGATTGGATTGCTAAAAAAACAAAAAAATCAGCATCGAATTGATCAGACGAATTTCATTGATAAATTCTGAGTGAAGGCTCAATGCCTTGCCATGATGGTAATTAGTTATACTGAAAACTTGTAAACATCATTTCGTGCAAAACCCTGTATGCAAAATTATAACACAATATAGAACTGGAACTATCTTGGTAATATTTTTTCCAAACAGATTTGGAATTACTGTTCAGTTTTTATTTCCCTTTTTTTTTTTGTTCGATTTAGACGGAACCCCTGCTAATCGTTTTGCCGACAAAGGTTGTCACGGCAAAGGCTGAGCAAATTCTTCCAAATTTGACACAAGTGTAGTTTATTGAGTAAATATTAAAAAGATAATAAAAGATTGCACAAAAACTTATGATTTCATTTTATTTGTAATTCTATGTAACAACACCAGGCATCAAGTGAATGAATAATAATTTTATAAGCGACACATTTAACTGAAAAAAAAGACGGTGTATGCGTAATTTTCTGATGTCTTTTGGCGGGAAAATTGCCCGCATAACATTACTTACAGAATCGATGATAAAAAAAAATAAAATCGGCGCCTGCGTTCTTTCGGCGCCCGTACTTTTTTTTTTTTTTT